AAGTAATGAACGCGGCCATAAATTAAAACAAAAGAGAAAAAAAACCCCAAACCTGTCAACTGCAGACCAGACCAGCTCTGTCCCCTCAAAAATACCCCCATCTTTTAGGCGCTGATTCCAAATAAATTCAACTTCGATGGGCATTAAATGCCTAAATACCTTTACAACTTGACCTAGGCAACCAGGAAACCTAAGAGGAGCGTGACCAGTCTGGAAAATAAATTATTCGCTTCGTCTGTATCCTAAATTCTAATGAAACACAGCAAGAAAGCACTCACAAACCGCAGGTAAAGCTTTAGCGAGGAGACAGAGGAGGAAGAGAGAGGTGCTGTGCTTATTTCTAAGGAAGGGAGCAAGAGTCCGGGGAATTCTCCGGCTCCCCCGTAGTGAGAAAACCCCTCTGCAAGGCGCGGGGATCGCGGGGGAGCGGGGCCGGGGGCCCCGCTGCAAGCCGAGGCCTGGCGGGCCGGCGGATGTGGGGACAGCGGGAGCGGCCAGGCCCGAGCCGGCGGCTGAGGGAAGGGGGACAGCCCTCACGTACCTGAGCGCGGCGTCAGGGCCCGGCTGCCGCGGCCAACACCATCCCCGGCGCCGGCCCGGGGGGGAGCGGCGGTGGCGGCTCCTCCTTCCTCCGCTTCCTCCTCCTCCTCCCTCAGCGGAGATCTCGCGAGAGCCCAGGTGGGACCGGGACGTGACCCGCCGAGATCTCGCGAGATTTTATCTGGGGCGGCGGGGAGGCTGTTTGCCGCCGGGAGGGCGGCGCCATGTTGGGGCTGCCTTTGAGGGGCCCCCTCCGGCAGCGCCGCCATATTGGGGCGCTCCCTCAGCGCCAGCGGGGTGCCTCAGGGGAATTGATGTTGTTAAAGTTATCTGTCCCCAGGCCTAATTTTCTCGCCTTTTATGAACGGAATCACAGAATCATTAAGGTTAGGAAAGACCTCTGTTATAAATGGAATTGAAATTTAGACAGGTCTATTAATAGCAATTTAATAACAAGGAAAAAAATTATACAGTTTAGTGAATTGAATACGAGAATACAATTTAGTAAAAGAATGCAATTTAGGGAATTGGTATAAAAGGGATACAGTTTTAATAAAAAAGTACAATTTAGTGAATATATTCATACATATGAATATAGCTTGCTAGTAATTAAGTATGATTAAAGCATAAGCAAAACCGACCAGGGTACAGGGAGGGCTTTCACCCCACCTCATGTATGAAACCAACCAGGGTACGGGGAGGGTTTCTCACCCTACCTCAGGTACAAAACAAAGCAATTCAAACTAAACTTATATACTCTATGCTTATACATATTCATTAATGTTTCCTCTAAGTCTCCTCCTATTTCCAGTTTTTTAATTTTACGTCACTCTTCCTCACGGCGCATGCCTCATTTGTTGTTAGGGGGTCTTCAGTCTTCTTTTGGTGGTCTTTGGATGAAGGCTTACACTCATCCTCATTGTCTTCTGGATAACTTCACAGGTTGTGCTTGCATACTAAGCCTTGTGTTATGTAAGTAAGCATTACGTTCCACTCATTAGTCTTACATTTAATTATTTTCAGGCCCTATGCCTAAAGTCGTTACAACTTTATCCATCTCAAGGTCGATTTTGTCTTAGGACATTACTTATCTCAAAACTACATCCTGTACCTTACTTTTAACATCTGTAAAGGGGTACATCTGCCTTGTAACACAAATTCCCTTGGTTGTTTCTAATAATAACTTTCCAAATAGTTACAATTTAGTTAGCACAAATCATTTCCATTTATTAAACCTCTGAGATCACCAGGTCCAACCTTTGATCATCACCATGTCACCCAGACTGCGGCTCCCAGTGCTGCTTCCACTCATTCCTTAAGCACTTCCAGGAATGGCGAGCCCACCACATTTTTGGCGAGGCATTTCCAATAAATTTCCTTCTTTTACTGTCGCCTCACACTGCTCTGGAAAGGGGGGAGGTGATTTAGACACAATATAAATTATGCTGAGGCTATGGCAAATAGCAACACACCAAGAGGGAGGAAAAACAGCAATTGTCAGGGGGATTTCAGGAGCAGAGCTTAACCAGGCTGCAGCATTTGCCTTGGTGCCTGCTTAAATTAATCAACTATTTGTATATTCCAGCAGCAGATGAGTGGAAGACTAGTGAATTAGATGGAGTAATCAATCAAAATGTCAATAACATCAATATGCAATAGTCAATCAAGTGAAATATCAATCATATTGTAAAAAATGGAGTAACGCTTCAGAATTTTTTTAGAAGTTTAACAGGGGATAAAATAAGAGACAAAAGTCCAGCACTGGGGTGCTCTTTGCAAACAGCCAAAGAACACATGGGGGTGCAGTCCCCATAGTGTTACCTTTATACTGTTAGAATACTGAGGTACATGCCTTTCATGGAGTTCATACATTATTCAAACATTCTTGTGAACTTTTTGATGTTATGGGAATTCTTCTGTTTGTCTTCTTCACACTCTGGCTTATCTGCATGACATCCTGTGTGTCAAGTTAATATATTTTATCCCTCCTTGTGTCTCCATCCTGTTGTTTTCACATCCTCTGATAAGGATTTAGTAGGTCCCCTTTAAATTTAACCTGGTATTTTCTAATTGTCCTCCAGCGCTCTGGTTTGTGTCACAGTTATCACTTGGAGAATTCAGTCAGCAGAAAAAGGAGGGTAACAAGATTGTTTTACACCATTTGTTTGGTTACATAGAGGTATTTTAACACCCAGTATTTAGCTAAGGCCTATAATACTGTATATTCACCACACTGCTATTTCTAAACTGGCACATTATACTAACAAACAGCTAAATAAAGGTATATGTGATACTAAATTCTTATGATCAATGCAAAAACTGATATATAAATGTGAAAGCCAATATCATATTATAGTCCTTTTTAATACAGAAGCACAACTCCATCTGATGGAATCTGTAAAAATGGTAAGAGTGCATTTAGTAACGGAGAGTGAATACTTGGGTATCGTAACTAGACTGCCCAAAAACTTCAGACATTTTCACAGTTCTGTTCAATCAGCCCTCCCAACTGTAAAATAGGTGCATAAACTTAAGTTCTTCCATTTGGTAGCTTCCACTAAATAAGGGAGCCAGGAATTAGCCATTGAAGCAGCGTCTGGGTTTGGTGTGGTAAGGCCAAGCTGGAGACCTGACACAAGGGAAGTTTGGCAGACAGCTACTGAAATACTCACTGCATCCTAAACATTCACCACAATGATACCACTACCCCTTCCCTAAAAAAAACATGGATCTGAGCTGACTGAAATCTAGTTAAACCAGCACAAAACTGCTGCTTAGAGCCCTTTCTTCCCTCCTTAGGCTTTTCTTTCCAGATACAGGTATAGTTTGGATAACACAACACGGCAGCTTCGGACAGAAATGTCCTGAAAACACCCTCCTCCTCCCACAGGTGTTGGCTGTTTGTAGGTCCCAGGGAGGGCTTTCTTACAAGCCTCCAAAAGTGAGGGGTGAAATCAGGAGCAGGATCAGGAGGTGGGTCCCAAAGCAGGTACCGATGGCATCTGCCTGCTGGGAGATCCCAGGTCACAGAGCAAAGCATTCCCGCAGCCTGGCTCTTTCGGAGAATGAGCCGTGCCTCGCTGGAGACAAACCCCGGATTCCACGGGGAATTCCGGACACGCCTTCGGGGCTTTCCCTGCCCTTGGGAAGTGTTGGCCCCAGGGCATTTCCCTCTGGATGGGTTTTCATTGCCTCGGGTGCTGCTCCTGACATTAGATGGCAGCACACGGGTAGCGCCTGGGGCGTGGCCAAGTGACGGAATCTATTAAAGCTCTCCAAAAAAACCCAAAATCCCGGTTTTTTAACTCTCCCCGCCCCCAGATTAAACGCAACGAGGTTCCTTTTGGGCAATATCCTTGCAAGGATGTGCAGGCTGTGGTATTGCAGAAAAGCATAGTGGAAACACGCGATGGCAGCTTATCTAAGTAGTTTCCTACTTTAGTTTTCATACGAAATAGCACTTAAGAAAATAATTTACACAGGCAAGTATGCAGAATATACTCTTTAATAAATAGCAGATAAAAAAATAGATTTTCTTAAAAACATTTTGAGAACCAGAAAAACAAAGGTACCGTATAAATAAGCATTTTCACATTCTTTCAGGAAGGGCATTATCCCGAGCCAATAATTTAAAGGGGGGGGGGAATAAAAAAAAAGTTTCCTGAGCTGGCATAAGTGAGAAAAAGGGTTAAATAGGTTAAATGGGAAGTAACAGCGCGGAGCAGTCGCTTTTCCCCGGTTCTCGGGGCGTCCCTCGGGGGCGGTGCCGCGGGCGCTTCAGCACTTGTCCTGGAGGGCAGCGCAGCGCAGGTCGGCCAGCACTTGCAGGACGTGCAGGATGGTGGTGGCCCTCAGGCACGCCGTGCTCTCGGGGGTCTCCTGCGGGGGGAGATGGAGCGAATCAGCTCTGAAGTGGGGGCGCTGACAGCCCGAAAGCGTCACCCCGCTGTCCTGACTTACTGTGTGCACGGCCGCCTGCAGCTTGTGCAGCCAGTGCCTCAGCCTGCCCGAGGGCTGCTGCGAAGGATCCACCTGCGAGGAGAGAGGCTGGGTAAGGAGCGGCCCCGCAGCGCGGCCGCTGAGCCGGCCCGGGGCAGGGCTCTGGGGGAGGCACTCACACAGCCCCGCACATCCTCCCGGGCCTGCCTGAAGAACTGCAGGGGCCGCCGGCGCACTTGGGCAAAGCTGGGGACAGCGGGCAGCTCCAGCATGGCAGTGGTGAGGTTCAGCTCGGCCGCCACCAGCAGCACTCGGTCGGACATCTGTGGGTGTGAGTTGGCCTGGTTAGTGACCCGAAGCGCCAGGGCTGGAGGATGGGGGGTCTCAGAGACCTGCCCGGGGGTGCGGGTGGAGGTGGAACCGGCTGACAGGAGAGGTGTGCCCCCTTTTTACAGCATCTGCTCGCTCTTACCGGCAGGTCTACTGCATTCCATTTGCGGTAGAAGAGCCTGGTGTTGCATTTGTGGCTGCTCACCTGCAGGCATAAACCAAGAGAGAGGCTGAAAAACTCTCATTGTGACTTCTGGCAGTGCTGTACAACCCCAGCCGGCCTAGAGGGGTCTGAAACCAGGACAAAACCAGCATCCTTCATGTCCCTAAACACACTTGGAAAAATAACTTCCTCATCTCCAAACTGCTGCAGAAAACATGCACCTTGTCACTCAAGTCTTGAATTCAGCATCCCCTCTGCCTTGCCCCTGCCAGCCTGCAGCCCCCTGTCGCCAGCAATACTCACAAACTCTTGTCTCATCTTGTCCACAGCCTTCTTCTCCTCGGGTGCAATGTTCTGGTACTTGGACAGCCTGCAGCCGTTCCTCAGCGTGTCATGGGGAAAGGAAGCCCCCAGGCTGACCCCCAGCACCAGCACGAGCAGTGAGCTGAGACTGAGGCACATTTCGGCAACGAAAGCTTGACAGTCAGCGATGGATTGCGATGGGGTGAGGAGGCTGCGGTGCAAGGTGCCAGAGAGGATGAACTGGAGGATTCCAGGCAGGATTCGCTAAATTTCAGATGCAGAGGTGCCTGACGGGTGCCACAGGTATCCTGTTCAGACGTGGAGCTTCTGAGCTGGTGGCCGTCACAGGGAGCTGCTGTGCTTTGCTGCTCCATCTCCAGCTTTTTATTCCTGCGTGGCATTTTCATATTCGTAGGAAAATCCAGAGGTGATAGAGCTAGAAACAAAAATGAAAGTGGTGCAGGGAATCTCCCCTCCGTTACCTGCCCTGCTGCGCCTCAGCGCGGGATGCCGGGGCGTGCTGGGGCTGAGGGGGCACTCCGCTGCCAGCATGACCCAGCCCCACCCCATGCTGAAAGCTGCAGGAGACACCTGGGGACAACAAGAGGGTTTTGGTGCCTCCTGAGTGGCAGCAGGAGTTCAGGCCTCAGTTTCCCCGTGGGAAAGGCCATGGCAGGGAGGGGGCATAGCCAGCACTGCACAGTCCAGGCTACAGGCATGAGCTTCTGTGTTCTCCTGAGGGACCAGGCTCACCACCAAAGCAGGGAAAAAGGTGAAAGCAAAAGCACTTCCACCTGAAGTTTTCCATGTGGTACACAGAGTTGTGGAGGGAGATGAAGATGAGCAGGGCTGCCACTCTACAAGGTACTGGAGCTGGCTGGGGTTTCCTCCCTGTTCAGCCTGGGGACACAAGTAGGGTGTATTGACATCCCTCTGCTGACAGCTGGAATGGTACCTCTCAGCAAACTGTCCCTCCCTCAAGAGAACCTCCTGTGGTCACTGCTGTGCTTTTAGGGTTCTTCAAGCATTAAATATAAAAAAAATTAAAAATATAATAAATATATATAAAATATATAAAAATAAAATAATTATATATTAATATATATTAATATAGATATTAAATTAAATATTAAAAAATAGGGCAATACCTGGATGTAAGAAGCAAAGACAGTAAGAAAGCAAAAGGCATAAATGGACTTCGCAGGGCCTTGCAGAGTGGCCACAGAACACTCCAGGAGGACCCAATTTTTAATGTTCATGTTTGGAACTGTGTTGTATTTGAAAGTGCTGATTTCAAAGATGCCAAGAAAAGGAGGAAAGTTCTTGTGGAAGCATGTGTAAAGGCACACCTGTGGGTGAGCAGAGTGGCATGGATGTGGTTGTGGAGGTGGGCTGGGACCTCTCTACATTATCCAATCCAAGCCCTGCTCTGGCAGGATCAGCTAGCATGGGCTGCCCAGGACAGTGACCAGTTTTGAAAATCTCCAGGGATGGAGTGGACACTTCACAGCCTCTCTGTTTTTCTTGTGCTCAGATGGACTTTCCCTGGTTCAGCTTGTGCTGTGCTGTCACACCACCATGAGCCCCTGAGCCTCCTCTCTCAGCTTTTCCTCATAGGAGACATGTTCCTATCCATCATCTTCATGACCTTTCTTGGACTCCTCCAGTCCCTGCCATGTCTCTCTCCCACTGAGGAGCCCAAAATGGACCTAGCGCTTCGGGGGTGGCCTCACCAGGGCTGAGGAAAGAGGAGGAACCGTCTTCCTTGGCCTTTTGGAAACATTCCTCCCAGTACAGCCCTGGATATCATTCACTTTCTTTCCCACCAGGACACTTTCCTGGCTCATATGCATGTTCAACCACCCAGAACATGAATTCTGGTACCCACCAGGCCCTTTTGTGCCCTGCTTTTCTCCAGGGCAGCCCCAACATGTCCTGGTACATGGGGCTATTCCTCCTCCCATTGCCCTTCCCGTTGCTGAACTTCAGAGGTTGTCATCAACCCATTTCCCCAGCTTGTTGAGGTCCCTGTGGACAGCAGCACAATCCTCTGCTGGGTCATCCACTTCACCCAGTTTGGTGTCACCACTGAACTTGGTACAGAAAGGGTGCCCTGGGCCTCATCACCCAGATCATTAATGAAGAGGTCGAGCACGACCAGCTATTGACTCACAGGGTCCATCCAGCCCTTCTTGAGCCCTTCCCCTGCTCCAGCAGCATCCCAGAGGTCTCAGATCTTTCCTGGAAAACCATGGTAGAGATAAAGAATGGGAAGAGGCAGAATGGATTGGACAGTGGTTCCACTTTGTCCAAACTGGATGCAGAGACAGCTTGGAGAAGAGCCAGGACAGCAAAACATAAGTAAGTCTGTGCTAAAGCCCCAGAGCGTGGTGGGCACAGGTTTTCCAGTCATGGATGTGGCCACTGGACCAGGCTGCTGCCCAGGCTCTCTCACAGCAGCAGGTTAAGAGGAGGTCAGTAATTAAAAGCCTGAGCCCTGGTGTTGGCTGGGGTCCCTTGTCTGCCCTTTTGGTGAACAGGACAATGGCTCAGTCTTTGTCTCCCATTAACAAAACCCACAGGAGATTAATTTTTATTCAACACAACAAAGTTCATGATCAATATAGCTGTGAAATACAAGTCCAAAGCAGCATAAATAAGTCCAGTTTTGTCATTCAAACAGGCACAGCTCAGCTGGAATAGAAGGCACCTTAGCAGAAAATCCCAACAGATGTAAAATAAATGTGGCCCCTAGTGAGAGAGGGGTGATCCACCACCAAGCATGGTCCCACACCACCGATTCCTGACGAGACACTTTCGGGTCACCCATCAGGTCACAGAGTAGCATCACATCCTCGTGGGACAGCTTTGACTCCTGTTTCCCATCGCTGTGGCTTTTCTCTCCCAGATGTCATTTCTGTTTGAAGAAGTAAAGCGAAACCTCATCTCTTCACAAATGCAAAAGGAAATTCAGAGGTTCCAAAGAAAAGCTAAAGCTGTGGGGCAAAGCTGCGTCATGAGCACTGTGAGGTGCCCCCCACCCAAAGAGGCAAAGATTTCGTTTCAGATGTGCATTGTTAAAGTGAGAAGCGTGGCTTTACAGCCCAGGAAGAATGGATTCCATCCTCTGCCTTGGGAGATGGGCCTGTGACCCCAGGAAGAATTGCCTCACCCCAGAGACCCCTCGTGGGGTGGCAGTCCAGGGTTTGGGTTTGAGCCCCTGGGGTTTCTCCCTTGCTGTGTTCCTATTAGACCCAGACCTTAAACTCCACCCTGGTTCTGTCCCACAAAACCCATCACCCTGCCTCTGTTTGGGGCGCTCTGTCTCTGGATTTGAGCTGAGTTTGTTCCATAAATGGTTTCCTGAGCAGAAGCCCCTCTCGTTGAGTCCCATGTTGGTCCACTGCCTCCCTGGACATGATCCTGCAGGCCTGGAACACAACAGCGCAGCCCCCAGCACTCACGATGGCTGGGATGGAGGGGTAAGGATCTCTCCTGGGCACCTTGCTCAGATATCTGTGCCACCCCCAGCCACAGCTGGGCCCTCAGGGGCTTGGCTGAGCAGCAGCAGGGGCTTTTTCTTAATGGGATGGGGTGTTGCCATTCTGGGTTTTGGTGCATGTCTTAGCTCCCCCATAGCCCAGCCAGCAAAGTACCCCTGCATTCGCCACAGCTCCTCCAAACCGTGCCAGTGCCAGCTCCTGCCCCGGCAGTGGAGAGTTCCCCAAAGCCAGCACGGGCTGGGGACATGACCCAACAGAGTCCATAGGGCACTGGGAACCCACCACAATCATCGTTCCAGTGCCAGCTGCCAATGGTGCTGTGCCAGGAGAGCAGCACAGATGATGATGTTGGAGTCCCTTGGGTTCACCCAGCCTGGAGGCTGGAGCCATTCCAACTTGCTCAGAGCAAGAAATCCCAGGTGTGGAATTTCCAGGTGCGAGAACAAAAGTGAAACCTGACTGTGGACAGGGCTGGTGTCAGCACTGGGTGAGGCAATCGCTCCATGGTGACTCATGGGTTCCTGCATGGCACGAGCGTGGGAAAGCTGTTTGCCACAAACCGTGGCATTAGAGCGGGTATGATGAGCCCAGGTGGCTCCTGACCCCAGCGGGCCCCTGACTCCCAGTCTGGGAGGAAGTGAGTCCTGTTAAACCGACTAGTCTGGGTAAAGAGGGTAAAAAGAACAGAAAGCATGCCCCAAAAAAGCCAGCTTTAAAAATAAACCCATGGGTGAGATGTGGGAGCCCAATGGTGCCAGGACAGGGAGCATCAGGCGGGCTCTGCTCATCAGCCATGACTGGACTCATCCCTGCCAGCCCAGGGTGTCAGTGCCACCAGAGTGGCCCCAGCCCCCTCCATCCCCCATCCTCCTTCACCTCTCACCATGTGTGAGCTGCAGCAGCCGCTGCAGTGGCTGGTGCTGCTCTGCTGCACCGCCATGCACAGTGGTGATGCAATCCCTGCTGTCATGGCCAGGCACCCACTGCACAATGCCAGTGCAGGGAGGGAAAGGCTTTTTAAATCAAATTACAGATGTAATTATCAAGCAGACTTAAACTTGTTTTAAAGTGAGGAAAAAACCCAAACACTTTTTCTCCAGAGCCTTTTTGCCACCACTGCAGGGACACGTAGGGACTGTAGGGACACAGGATGTCCCATCTCCTGGGGGACCCCTCCCTGCCCTGGAATGGCTCCCAGGGACAAGCCCTGCCAGCAGACCTGGGGCTTCCCCGGCCCAGGCAGCCAGACAGGCCATCGGCATCGCAGCAGTGGTGCCACCCAATGCCATCCCAGGCAGGAGAGACACCTTCATGCTCACCCAGCAAGGGAGGCCTGAGAGCTGCTGCTGGCCCAAACCCAACCTGCACCTGGAGCAGCCCCTCAGCCAGTGAGAGCAGGGTAGAGCCAGTGAGAGCAGATCCAGTATTGCTGCTCCAGCACCTGGCCATGGACACAGGGACCATCCATGGCTGTTCTCCCGAGACCCCATTGCCCTCCTGGGGGACCAAGTGGAGGCAGAGCCTTTGCTCCCCACCCTGGGCAAGCTGAGGGGAGCTCACTCAGGGCCCTGAGAGCCCAGGACCTCAGCTGAAGTACCTCCAGCCCCTCTCAGCCCCCTGCAGGTGTGTTCTCTGGGGCCAGGAGCAGAGGTGGCACTTCACCTTTCTTAATAATGCACTGATGTAGAACAGAGTGAGGGCACAGCTCTTCCCATGGTGTCAGGGAAGCTTTCTTGCCAAAGACAGGAATTACAGGAAAGGGAAAGATTCCTACAGAGGGTGGATCTGGACTTTGAAATATCCAGAAGGCAAACAGGATGTGACCTGTACCAGGGTATGCCCAGATTTGAGCCCTCATGTCTCCCCTTGCCCCTCCCAAAAAATGCAGCCTCTAATCTTCCCTTTGTAGTGTGGGTGGGTAATAGGGGCACAAACCTGCTCTCTCCTTCAGCAGTGATCCCATAAAGGCTCCTGAGCTGTTCTGAGGGGCCTCACTAGGGCCAAGGCACTCCTGGGGCAGGGAAGGGGTTGATACCTGCACCAGCCAGCAAGGCACCAGGGACAGGGGCACACTGTGGGTGAGAACAGCCCCTTTCCAGGGCAGCCTTCAAAGACCATGCACAGCTCTTCACTTAGGCAGGGCAGAGAAACAGGTCAATGGCCCTTCCTGCCCAAAAGCCACCTTCCCCACGGAGCAGAGGGGCACTGAGGGCATTGGGACACTCAATGTCAGTGTAGCAGTTATTCCCACGCCAGTGGGTGCTCCACAGCCTCTTTGAAAAACAGGAGCCACAGGCAATGTTTTCTCAGCTTGATTTTTAATTATTATTTATTGTGCAAGAAAGGCAGTGAGTTTCTCAGCTGTTCCTGTGTTTCTCTTCCCCACAATAAACCAGCAGTCCACAATGGAACACTTCCAGTGCCGAGTGAGCAGCACTGGGCAGACTTCAGGACCAAGGTGGACAGGAAGCTGAAGGGCATAAAACCCCATCTGCTTTCCATAGGAGACCAAAATTCCAATCAGCAAAATCAGCACCAATATTCCCAAGGAGCAAGAGCGGTTACAAGCAGGGTTTTAGGAGACAACCCACCTTCTCCATCCACTGTAAAACCAGATCAGGAGAAGGGTTTGCTCTCTCAGCGTCCCTTGCACCCCAGCACACAGACGTGCCTCACCCAGAACTCCACCGGGGTCTCACGAGAGGAAACTCCCATTGTCTCCAGCATCCTGGAAGGACAAGCAGAGAGGAAGGGTCTCACCTTAGACAGATCTCTTCCACCCACAGCACAGGGGGGATGGCAAATGCTTCCAGCTGCTGCACAAGGGTCATTCTGGTCAGGGAGTAAACAAGCAGGCACCCCTTTCCAGCAGGCCCTTGTTGGGGCTGAAACAGATGGGTGAAGATGCAACCACCAATATTTTTCATGACTTTTGCCAATTAAAAACAAGGTAAAGAAAGTCAGGATAGTCTCATGTCAGAGGTTTCATGGATACATGAGTGCAAGCACATCCTACTGCTACATAGGCTTAAAATTTAAGGATCTGCTGTTTAAGCCCTGACAAATGTCCACCCCTGAACACTCACTTGCAGCTTTGAAGGGGTCTGCACAACCTCCCTCTGCATGCACTGCACAGGACAGGTCCTCCACATCCTGCTTGTTTTCTCACCTCTTTTCAGTCTCTTGGAGGAGGGATGCTGCACCTTTGGGGTCATCCTTCTTGAAGGTTTGATATGGAGAGGCAGACTCCATGTAACCAACCACACCTTCAACAGTCATGGGAATTTGGTCATAGATATCAGTGACTCTACAAGAAACACGGGCAAGAAAGGAGCATTGGCAAGTTAAATCTCAAAGGCAGGGGAGCACAGAGAACAGGATGACCCTGGTAGATAAAATATCTGACACCATCAAAGGTGGTTCTGCTCACCTCTTCTTGTCTGGGAATGGCAAGGCCTCAAAGATCGTTTTGTAGTCCTCCAACACATACTTTATTCTATTATGTGAGTATTTTAAAATCTTGTCCCAGCACTGTAAAGACAGTGTATTAAACACAAAACCTTGAAGTTCTCAGATGCCACTTAACTCAGGTTTGGGCCTGCATCTGATACATTCATATATGTCCTTTTTTTAAAAGACTTGTTGTACACCAAAATCTTGCTTAATATCAAGAATTCAAGGATCCTATTATAGAAGTAAGGCTCATGTCCTTCCTACACAGCTCTTACTCATAGTGGAGAGTCTTCTTTTATCCAATTAGTCCAGAAAGAGTCCTAAAAAGAGAACTTCTTCCCAACAGTTTATACTTCCCCTTCTTTTCACTGTGATCAGGGCAAGAAGAAAAGTCTCCTGGACAATACCAGCTCCCAGATCTGCCCTTCTCACCCCCACCAGAGCCTGCCCTATCAGTCCTCATGTCTCCCTCCTCACGACCCAGCCAGCCTTGAGTGGAAGTCTCTAAATCCTGCCTCAGCCTTTATCCCTACATTTACCCATCCCTTTGCCCCATTCTGCATTAGGATTCCTCAATCCCATTCCTTCCTCTCTGAATCCAAGTGCCACACATTTCCCACCCCACCCTGAGGTTTTACCAGCTCACCTCCCTGAAGACTTTGGTGAGTTTTTCGGAGCAGTCTCCGTAGCGCAGGCTCATGTCTGCAGAGTAGGTGCTGATGGCCACGCAGCCGCCGGGTTTCAGCACCCGCTCAGCCTCCCTCACAAACTTCTCGATGTCAAACCAGTGCGCGGCCGTGAACGACGTCAGGACGTCCACGGAGGCGTCCTGGAACGGCAGCTCCTCTGCAGGGCACACGCTGCAAGGGGCAAGGGAAAAAGCCACGTGCGATGTGGGAATTACAGAGCAGGACGTGAAGTCAGCGGGTATTTTTTGATGGTTTGGGATGCAAGACCAGACAGCTTCTGGAAGTCTAGGACAATGCTTGTTCACACCAGGAATTCCATCAAATGGAATCTTTGGTGCCAGCTGGCTCTTCAAACAGTCATACTCACAAACCACCACCTCCACATGAGGACCTGAATTCTGCCTCTGGCTGGGCGTGCTGTCCTGACACTCACAGGTAGGAGATGTTGGGCATGCAGGGGGTGTCCTTGGCCTCCTGGATCTGCGCTTCGCTTATGTCCGTCCCCACCACCTTCTTGAAGTGCTCCCCAAGGAAATGGGTGCCTTGGCCAGACCCACAGCCAACATCCACCGCCAGCTCCGCAGGGATTGCCTTCTGCAGGGAGCAGTGCATGTGTCTCAGTGGGAAGCCACCCAATTCCTGTGCTTTTACCCCATTCCTCCCCCCAGCACCCACTCAGGAACAACCTTGGCATGGCAGAACCTGTAGAAAGCCTCTTCTGTGCCCCCATGTGGCCTTGAGCCCAGCTGCTTTATCTTTCCCCGAGGCACCGAGCAAGGTGACACTCCCAGCAAGGTAAACACTGCCACCCACGATTAAATAAATACTCCTTGGATTTTTCTTCCAGCCTGGCCGTACCCCGCTCACCTTTTCCTGCAGGTAGGAGAGGATGGTCTGCCGCAGCTCTTTGCCAGGTGCAAACCTGTATTTCTGGTAGACGGACGCATGCCCTTTGCCCTCGAACATTTGGGTGGCCATGCTTGCCTGATCTGGCACCTGAGAGGAGACAGCAAGCCGGGGATGTCACACGGGACCAAAGTCCTGCCGCCTCCTTAGCCCGGGACCGCAGGCACTGAAGCCTCCAGCTCCCAGCGGGACCACGGGGAGGACTTTGCCCCTGGGGCTCCAACAAGGGAGCGTGAACCTGCTCTCCAGGAATCCCTCCCAGAGCCCTGAGCTAATCACAGGAGCAAACCAACAGGAAAAGCTTTCCAGGTTTTTACACAGTCCATAAGGAGTGTTTAACTCCTTTGCTTCCCCCACCCACCCGACTGTTTCCTCAAATAATTCACTGAGCAGTGAAGCAGGAAAAACTACCAGTAAATCACGAGGGTTTTGTTGATTGGATTTTTTTTTTTTGCCTTTTTAAAAAAGGCAATCCATTTTCTAGTATTGGCAACACAGTCACAACTCCACCTTGCGCTTTCCGAACCATCTGCTATTTTTGGCCCTTCCCGGCCAGGAACCACTCAAACTCTCTTATCCCACTGAACGTGGACGGGAGCTGGGTCCAGGGGCAGCTCAGCCTGGGAGCCAGGGAAGCTCCCCGGGCCCGGAGCTCCGCACTCCGCCCCCGCTCCCGCCCCGGAAGGCTCCCGGCCGTATCCTGTTTGTGCTGCCCGGGGCTCGGTACCGACCCCAGGCACTGCTAGGAGGGTTCCGTGCCCCCTTTCCCGGGGAAGGACTGCTCGTGTGCCCGCAGCGAGTTTATCGAGCGATACACAAACACACCGGGAGATCGAGGGTTACTCTGCCTTCACGCAGGAAGAGATGCTCAACCAGCTCAGGGCTGGAGCTCGCAGCATGGAACAGCGGCGCTTTCTAAAGGGATCCTCCCGCTGCTTTCCATGCGCTCAGAGGAGCCTTCTCCCCGCAGCCCTCCCGCTCCTTACCGCCAGCAGCCCCCGCACCAGCAGCTCCCAGCACCTCCCAGTCCGGAGCTGCGGGATTGGGAGGAAGGGGAAGGCGAGCGATGGCCGGCACCGCCCCCGGTACCGCCCGCCCGCCCCGGCTTGCTCCCCCAGCCAGCCGGGACGGTATCAGGAGGTAAAATCCAGGAAGCAGCTTCTGGATGCTCAATCCCACCGAGATTCCGGAGCCGCAGAGCCGAGCTTTGGCCTTTACACAGCTCTGTATTTACATAGTTAGAGCTTTCAAAATGACCGCAGATCCTGGGGATGCTCAAGCAGCCTTCACATCTCTGGAAGCAGAGGCAGAGCCCAGAGGATGCTGCAAGGTAGCAGAACAGGATTCAAATGCTGCAGGCAGCTAAAGCCATGCACGTACAGAGCTCTGTCTGCGCTGAAGTCCCCTCCAGGTGTCCAGAAAGAGAAAATGCAGCAAGAGCCCTCAACACCAGCACTTTAAGAGCTTAGAATGTTGGTATTTCAGAACTAGGCAGTCTGCCCCGATTCAGGGCAGGATTTTACTCCTTCCCCAGAGAGTAATGTTAATTCCGTGCAGCTGAGGCCAATGGAGCTGTGGTTTGCTGGAAGCACGGTCCCTTCGGTTTGTACTTTGCACAGCAGTCATGGGTCCATGCTAATTAGCAGAACCTTTAAGCCACTCCTAATTTTTAGCGAAATCAGTGAACTTACTCAAGGAGTGAAGACGGAGGCTGGCTTGAAGCAGTTTGCTAAATCAAAGCACGGGCTGGAGCTCCTGGGCTTGTGTCCCAAATATTTTATTTGGGCCACCTGCTGTTTAATCGTGCAGGGGTGGTACCTGCATCAAGAGAAAACACCACACAATCACCAAAGGCCCCTGTGTTTTCACAACCTGGCTCCTGGGTGTTTGGACACCCCCATTTTGCCCGGATTTTGCTGAGAGCACCACTGCACACAGGAAGGGCTGATGTCCCAGGTCTGAGTGACCTGCTCTGTTCTGAACTCCGCAGTGTCTGTGCTGCTCTCATGAGCGATGTACAGGTGATGTTTAACTACAGCTGACACCAAACACCTGCAGGGAAACAAAACTCCAGCCAGACATAGGAAAGGCCTGGTGCTGTTTGCAGCCTAAGCTCTCCCAACCTTTGGCACACTGGATTCTGCTGACTTTGACTCCCTCCTCCACATCTGCTGCGCTGCTTAAGGGACAGCTACTCTCTGATGGCCCACTCAGAAATAAACTGGTCTCCTCAAGATTTAGGTTGCTGAGCCTTAGGCCAAATGTGGGTTTAAACACCAGGCACAGAGAATCAAACACTGTCCATTATCCCTGCCTGCCCACTTATTGAACCCAAAGGCTTTAAGGAATGCCAAAGTGCCCTGGGGTCTTCCCAGCTTGTTCCCCAAGCTTTCAGACTCTGTGGATTTTAATTATATAGCAGGCTCCTGGATTAATAGACCTTCATTGGGACTGCATCTCACTATGAAATTTATTAAAACTGAAAAAATGAATCAATCTATTTTAGGGGACAAAAAGGCCAAAGGATACTCCTGTCAGTCCTCCTGTGACCATTGGTATTTTTTACCAACAGGTTTACCTGCTTGGAGCCAAAGGAAGAGGAGGCAAATGGTACCATTACCCTGCTGCATTTAATTTACAAATTTAATTGTTTTAAATTTCATTTCAACTTTGATTTGGAAGCTTTTTGCTGGACCACACAAAAGGGAGGACACCCACAGGGTTGGGTGGGCTGTGGTCCACCTTCCCTTCCCCAGGATCCCCTGAAGAAGTCAGTGATATGTCTCCTACCTTGTGGAAAACTTGATTTGATGTTAAGATCCCAATAAGGCTTTGGCTCTCGGGACACTCTCCCTGTTTATTTGTTCTCTGATGGAAAAAAAGATTTATTATCACAATGAGGAATACAGGGATTGGAAAATAGTTGGTATTTCTTCAAGGATCTGTTTACTTAAACCTTAAATCCTTAAACCTAGAGGGCTCAGACCTTAAATTAATGAAGAACATAGTTCTCTTGTCTTAAAACCAGTGGGGTATGGATAAAGTTCCTTGAAGGTGTGAAAAATGAGGTTCACATTTTTTTATATAGAATTTAAAAGTTAAATAGAAAGACAATTAGGAGATAAAAATAAAGTAAAATATACAAATATGGCCGGGTGTCTCTGCATTCAGCCAAGAGAGCACACCTTACTAACAAAGGATTGTCCCTTAGAAACAGAACCCTATTACATATTCATAAATTCTCATACATATTAATATACTCTTATTAAGTTTTTTGATGTTCCTTTGTTTAGTTTTTACCTTTCCCCCTTCCCAACAGATCAATCTTCTTGGTGCCACTGGGTTTTATATCCTCTGATAGTGGATGCAATAAATCCTTCTCTTGGAGGGCTTGGAGGACAAGATAATCTAAGAATGCAGGAGGTCTCTGACTATCTTTTCAGTCTCTGGGTTATATAAACAAAAGTAGTTTTTGCTTTAATATCATGTAATAGCCTAACATATAAATGTATTATACCACTATTTCTGAGTTTCATCAATAACAGAAATAGAAGAAACTATATTAATACAACGAAGTTTTCTAACCTTATACATATAACATTCATTTTAATATTTGTGAAAAGCCAATAATATAATATGCACTTTTAACAAAGGGAAGGGAGTTATCCACAAACACAGGAAATCTGGTTGTGGAGCCAGTGAATTAAATGAAATTTAGAAGTCACCTGGGAATCTGTGGCTGAGCAACCTGAGATCTGCCATTCCCCACCTAGGGGCCAGATCCGCTGCTGATGAAGTAACAGTTCTGGAATAAAGAGGGAGAGAAATGTGAGCTCAAAATGGCCTTATTTCACTTTTCCTTGCACTCTCACACTGGGCACAAGGAGGTCGTAGCTGATACAATTATATCTGCTGGCACAAGCAAAAAATCCAGTGGTGTCAGGGAGTTTCTGTACTAAAATTAAATAAGTCTTGGGGATGTGATGTGCATGGCCAAACCAGACTCAGAGCAGTTGCTCTGGGTGTGGCTGAAGCCTGATGGGCTGCTCAGAAATGCAAACGAATTTGTGGTGATTAAACAAGACTCACTCAAGACTGTGCTAAATCTTTGGATTTAGAGAAAAAAAAAGAGAGACACAAAGAAAAAGAAAACTGGGGTGGGGGGTATGCATGAGAAGGGTGTCTTAGGTATTCATGGAGTCTGTACCTCTCAAATGCCTCAGGCAATGGGGAAAGGGAGAGGGAAATGCAGATGGGAAATTAGGATAAAAAGGAAGCTGCATCCACAAAAAATCTGAGAGACCCCAGGGGAATGCCCTATGGCTTTTCCCTTTATTCAAAGAGAGTAACAGGACTACTCTGTCTCCTTTTTGGACAAAAACCTCTGGTGTTTGTGGATTAATTTTCCTGACAACAGGGAGAAAAAGAGGAGAAGGCAGCAATATTTTATGCTTTTCTCTTTTTCCTCAAAAGCCCCTGCACCAGGAGACAGCCGAGTCCATCCCCCCCTGCCCATTTCCCTTTGCAGCTCCCAGGATCACAGCCTTGTGTCCCAAAAGCCAAGTGGATACAGGCCTGGAAGTGTAGTGGTGCAGAGAGGGTGGGAAAAAGGGGAATTGGGGTTCTGGCCGTGCTGTGATGGCCAGTGATGCTCTGTTCCTGTGGGGACACGAGGGCTGCAAGCTGCAAATGCAATGTGACATTGAGGAGGGCGCAGGAGGGTGCGGAAGGATGTGTGAGGATGCAGGATGTGCAGGAGGATGCAGTGGGATGGAGGAGAGCGCGTAGGGACGCAAAAGGGCAGGGAAAGATGCTGCAGAGGACAAGAGGGTACAGGAGGGTTTGGAAGGATGCAGGAGGGCGCTTCAGGATCCAGAAGGGTGCCGGAGGAAGATGCGGGACGGCAGTCAGAGGAGGATGCGGAAGGACACAGCAGCCCCGGGGCAGGGCAGGGCTGGGCCGGGACAGGCCGGGCTGCGGGGGCGGTGCGGAGCCCAGCCCGGCCCCGCTGGGGCGGGGGCAGGGGACGGCCCCGGGGCCGGCCCGGCCCGCCGTGCCCGGCTCTCCGGCGGCGCCGATGGGGCTGCGGGCCTGGCTGCGATCGCTCGGCTGCTGCGGCTGCTGCGGCGGGGAGGCGGCGGTGGCCGAGAAGGAGCCCCTGCTCAGGTGAGAGCCAGCCCGGCCACCAGCTCTTCCCGTCCCCGCTGTCCCCTGCCCCGCTCCGCCGCTGGAGCTGAGCATCCATCCCCTCCGGAGGGATCTTCCCCGGGCGGGATGGAGCCGCTTCCCGCTCTCTTTCCGCCCGGCTGGGCTGCCACAGGGGCTGGGCTCCTTCTGACAGCCGGCGCGGTGCCCGCAGGAGCCCTGCCCGCGGTGTCCCTGCCCGCGGTGTCCCCTCCGTGCTCCCCGGCCCCAGCGCTTTGTCTCTCCGCGGTGCGATTTCAGCAGAGGAGCTGAGGCACTGAACTAAAAGAGGGTCCCTGCATTCCTAAGCAGGGAGTCGGGTCCCGCTGCCGGCAGCTCTGGGTTGTGGAGAGCTCTGTTCGCAGGCTGGGGTCACAGAATCCCAGGATGGACTGGGATGGAAGGAGCAGTAAAAGCTCAGCCAGTTCCACCCCTTGCCCTGGGCAGGGACACCTTCCACTATCCCAGGTTGCCCCAAGCCCCATCCGACCTGGCCTGGGACAATTCCAGGCATCCAGGCACAGCTTCTCTGGGCACCCTGTGCCAGGGCCTCGGCACCTTCACAGGGAAGAATTTCTTCCTAATATTTAATCTAAATCCCCTCTCGTTGAGTTTAAGACCGTTTTCCCTTGTCCTATCACTGCCTGCCGCAGTAAAATGTCACTCTCCCCTTCAGGCACTGGAAGGGGCTCTAAGGTTTTCCTGGAGCCTTCCCTTTTCCAGGTGAACCCCGCCAGCTCTGCAGCCTGGCTCCATTCAGGGATGCCGGGGAGGAGA